CATGTAATAAACATGATATAAAGTGAGATTTTCCATTACACTTTCTTTTTATCCCCCATTATGCATTTTATTATGCCTCAAAGTGAGATTGACCAATCAGAGAACACAACTACTAACCCTATATGAACCTTTACAGGGCGTATTAAAATTGTCTCCATCCGTCCAGCCGTTCGTGCAAGATGTCGTTTCTGGAGCAGATCTTGAAAAACATACAATATTTCTTTTCCAAACGTGATAGGTCCAGTGGTGAACTGGTGCCTTTTGATAGTTTCTGATTGATTTTTTAAAAATAATTTTTTATAGTTTCCATGGCAACAACTTTGACTTAGGCTGAAAATGGCGGCTTGTTTCCAAAGCAGATCTTGAAGACCGTACAATATTTCTGCTGCAAACTTGGTACAGAGATAGGTCTAGTGGTGTGCTGGTGCCTTTTGATAGTAAGGGATTTTTGTAAAAAGATATTTTTCAAGTTTCCATGGCAACTTTAACTTTCTGCTGGAAATGGCGATAGTGGTCATTTCTGGAGCAGATCTTGAAAACTGTACTATATTTCCTCATCAAACTTGGCACATAGATAGGTCCAGTGGTGAACTGGTGCCTTTTGATCATGTTGATAGTTTCAGATTTTTAAAAAAATATTTTTTTAGAGTTTCCATGGCAACAACTTTGACTTAGGCTGAAAATGGCAGTAGAGCTTGTTTCCAAAGCAGATCTTGAAGACCGTACAATATTTCTGCTGCAAACTTGGTACAGAGATAGGTCTAGCGGTGTGCTGGTGCCTTTTGATAGTTTGGGATTTTTGTAAAAAATATTTTTCAAGTTTCCATGGCAACAACTTTAACTTGTGCAGGAAATGGCGATAGTGGTCATTTCTGGAGCAGATCTTGAAAACTGTACTATATTTCCTCATCAAACTTGGCACATAGATAGGTCAAGTGGTGAACTGGTGCCTTTTGGTAGTTTGTGATTTTGCAACAAATGTATTTCAAGTGTCCATGGCAACAAGTTTCATATATATGTATTCACGGCTTGTATTTACCATTGTGGAGGATATTGATGACTATGTCCTCTTGTTATAATTGAAATGATTCATTGCCAGTTACTGAAGCGATATACTTGTACAATTTTGAGAGTCAGTAATTGTTCATCCTGATCCATGTTCACAAGTTTGTACTGTTAGTGTGAACAAGCCGAATCACCAGTGACACAAGTGGTTAAGCTGATAGAACAGGGTATGTATCAGGAAGTATTGTACCAGGCTTTGAATCAACCAAGAGATTTCCACTGTGCATACTATAATTTCTCTATGACTCGTAAAATAGGTCAGTCGTGCGTTTGTAACTATCATGATTCTGGGAATAAGGAAAGTAGCAGTTTCCTTTTTGTCTAAGTATGATCGTTTTCACCCATTAACACTTGGTAATTTTATGGTTAATCAGTTTGTTCTATTATCAAAGTTGTAACTTTAGTTGTCTCAAGTTAAACTTGTTTTGGTTTGCTATTTGAACAGGATTTCAGTTCCAGTCCCTTTTTTTCATTTTTATTTTTCACGGTTTCCATGGAAATAATTTTGACTTAATCTCAAAAGGGGGTGGTGGATTTCCTTTCTGGAGCACAACTTGAAACCGTGAAACAATGTTCATCCAAACCTGGTACACGTATTAGCCAAGGGCAGAAGTGGTGCCTTGTGCTAGTTAGGAATTTGATGGGAGGTAGGTGTCGTTTCCTGCGGAGAATTGAAAAACTATTCAACATTTTTCATCCAAACTTGGTACATGTATTAATTTGTCCGGACCATATGATATAAACATATTTATTTCCATAAAGTGGAGGGATTGGCAAACAAGCAATTTTTGCTTATCTGAATGCCTCTCCCAAACATGATACATATACAAATAGCAATGTATTGATAGTGACATGAGAAATAGCCTACATTGTATAATTGGCATTAAAGGGCAAGTTCACACGGAAATGAACCTAATTTTCTTGTACTTTTTCCACAATAAAAGTGTTAACCTAGAAGTGTCATAGACAAAAATATAAAAAATATCACAATTAATTAACATATGTTTTGCATTAAAACGATTTATATTTTTCACATTTACCAAGTGTTCTATTTCCATAACAAAAACACCATGGCTTATGCCCCTTGCAATATGACGTCATTAGTGCCAATTTATAAACATTATGACGTCATCATGCTTTGTTAGAGCCGCTTCACGTGGTGTAGGTACATGTGTGTGATTCTAGCGTCTCAGATGCCAGCCAGCATAGTGTTATGCTGAGTCATCACTGCGCCGGAGTGTGTCGTAGGCCATGTTGTTTTACCGAAAACTTGTACTTGATATCTTTTGCGTTCAGAATAGACAGGGACCCAGTTGAATTGGCACCAATTACGTCATAATCTAAGGGGGATAACTCAGGCCTGTTTAGCTCGAAAAACGAAGGCCTCATAACAGCATGTCATTTTCACACTATTGTGAGCTTCCTACTTTCACTGTGAAAAAAATGAGTGTATATTTTCAAACACAGATACTAACTAATTCTAAAATTGCGTTTTGTTTAGTAAAAGAAAGAAAGTGATTTTTGCGTGTACACTTCCCCTTTAAAGATAAGGACTGTTCTGTAAGTGTTTAATTACTGGATTATCTTCCATAACTACAGTTACATTATTATTTACATTCAGCACAACAACATCGCAGTATCATATAGCAAAGCCATCATCTCAGACAAAATCTCTAAATCGGCAAGAAGATAGAACCATGTCCGGACCATATCACTAAAAAATAATAGGTAATCTTTCTTGAAACTGTGCACACACAAAGACCAGGTTGTCGATTGGTGCCTTTGGCTATTTAGGGGTGTTTAGAATTTAAAGGTTTTCCATTTCCATGCCAACAAATTTGACTTAGACTCTGTTCATAGAAGTGTGTTCATATAGAAATACAACGCTCCAAATCCCAATTCCACGGTATTGTTTTGATAGCTCAATAACTTCTCTTGTATACGGACACAGATTAGATAGACATTCTCTCATCAAGTTGGACTTAATGAAACAGTCAGATGATTTGTTCTTTCGAATTTGTAGGGGCCAGGGTGATTTGTCATCTGCTGATGACACTTGATTTGAGTAGCATATGTGAGTTGTTCAGAAATGAAATTTACAATAGGAATAATTATTGTTGAGATCAATAGGCGAAATTGTCAATTTCTGTCATTCTTAATTGTGTATATTGATTGTAATATGAAGCTCTAGTTGTGACAAGTGTACCGTGTTTCATTTGTCCGTACTTACATTAGTGGTACCCATTCAGTGCTGCAGTCTGATGGGTGGGACTGTGCAATATGTATAACATGATACCACGGTTATTGATTATTCAAACTCTGTGATGTACTTTTCATGACATTGTCTTGTCAAAATGAAAAGCCAAACATGTTGGGACATTAAGAACAAATTGGTGATGCTGGTTATGACTCATTTGTAATTGTCATAGTTACAGTTTTTAAAATATTTGTTTGTGTATACCATGTTAACTATCTATGCATCCAGCTGTTGTAGGTGAAATGTGATTTTGGAATCGGTCAGCTTTGAGACTGCTGTCAGTGTGTGTTGTTCAGCATGTTGTTTCTATGTGAATGTGAATCTGTGGCAGGAAGAAATAGTCACTGTGGTCTTCGAATGGCAAAACTCACATTTATGTTCCTTCCGTACAACAGTCTGTCAAAAGCCAGAAGTGACACAGATTAATTGCTTGCCATTTTGGTTTCCACTTTCCAGTGGCACATAATCTGAGCAGACCATGGATCATTATTGGGGAAACTTTGATTTGACCTGAAGGCAAGCATAGGAAGCCGCTCTGGCCCGTGAATATCCGGGTTACAATAGATCTTCAGGAACCCATGCTTGACGTGGAAGGCAACATATAATGCTTGTCGTAAGAAGCGACTAATGTGATCGGGTGGTCAGGCTCGCTGACTTGGTTGATGCATGTCATTGTATCCCAATTGCGTGGATCGGTGCTCATGATGTCAATCACTGGATTGTGTGGTCCAGACTATTATTTACAACCCGCTCTCATGTTGCTGGAATATTTCTGAGTGCGGCGTAAAACAACAAACAGACAACAGACATGAGGCCACTCTGTAGAGAGAGCCATCTTTGATTGTTGCATCCTGGACCCTGACCTCTTCAATAGATGTGCACTGTGTTTGCTTTTGGATGTTTGACTCCTTAATTTGTGTGGAAGCAGAGCTCCAGATAAGCTTTTGGTGTTGTGGGTATTTTACCCATGCATTTTAAAATCATTGGGTATCAGTAATTCTACCTGCGTATTCAAATTTCTGTTACCCACTAGTTTTTACACATGTGGGTATTTAAGTTAAATATTTAAAAACACTATTCATCTAGTCCCTGCAAACTGGTGTCGTGTGGGTTCGAGAGCTTTATAGGACTCAAAAATACCACGATACTTCCACAAGAAAGTGTGATGGCAAATGATCATGATGTAACTGTCATCGTGGAGTTTGGCAAGGTTTACGGAATGCCCCTTTATAATTTCAAAATAAGTTGCTGATTTGCTAATCGAATACGCAGGGTTACTTCACAATATTTTGATGATACGTACAAGTTTTATTTTTGTAGCGTATCTGTAATGTTCGTTGCGTATTGATACGCTTGGATTATATTTAACTGTGTATTTCTGCATTTCTGATGCGTAAATCACGCAGACACGCAGCATATCTGGAGCTCTGGTGGAGGCAGTTCCATGATTCTTAGTAGTGGGACGATACACTGATGCATCGGCTGATCGCGATGTTTTGGTGCTCAATACAAGTATTGATCACAGTCGCACACTAAGTAAAAACTATTAATTCTTACCTTATTGTGATACATATTGGATCGTGACCAAGGTATCGTGATACGTATCAGATCGCACAGTCGGTGTATCGTCCCAGCCCTATTCTTTAGCATGGGTTATATCTAAATATTTCTGTTTCAGTGGCTGGCCAGAAATCAGTGGTACATACAGCAACAGCTCAATGATGGATGAAAGCAGGGGGAAGATGTCTGCCGTCAGACGCACATTCTGTCTGTTCGTGGCCTTTGATCTGATCCTCACCTTCATCCTTTGGGTCATCTATACTCAGGTGGGAAATGTCATTCTTGGGGCGGGAGGGAGGGACTGCATTGCGCTATCATTTTCAGTAAACATTTCCATTGCATATTGACTATTGTTAACTTTTCTTACTGAACTGTAGATGGATAGAAAGATGGCTGTAGATAGAGACTGGGACGATCATTTCTGGGGGCACCCGTGAAGATCCAGGTTAGAATAGGTCTTCAGCAACATCCATGCCGTAAAAGGTGACTACGGTTGTCGTAAGAGGGGACGAACGGGTGGTCAGGCTCGCTGACTTTGGTCCTGCATGTCATTGTATCCCAGTTGCATGGATCGATGCTCATGATGTCAGTCACTGGATTGTCTGGTCCAGACTCAATTATATACTGACCACCACCAGGAATATAGCTGAGTGAGGCGTTAAACAACAAACAAACAAACAAACAAAACATTTCTAGGGGGATGAACGTAAGATCTGTCCCTATCACTTTATAAAAACTCCCTGTCCCATCACAACTAGGAGTTCACTGTCCACAAGGCTGACAGACATTCAGTGCTCACTGGACACACTCCCATGTATTGGGACCATTGCAGGGCTCGATCTAGCTGTATGAAACATGCACCAGTGCATCTTATTGAAAATTGCAACCTGATATTTAATTTATGTCTACATGCACCAGATGCATGTAAAAAATGTCAAGTTTGTGTCTGACTAACTCTAACTGCACCACACAACATTGATCCTTGAACATGATACCTCTAAGCTTTATTTACCATACTATATCACTAATCCCTGAGTTACTGTATAACATAGTAAACACCCACAGCGATATTTGGTAATATATTGGCAATTGAACAATCCCAATAAGCGTCCCTTCTGATTGATCAATGTACAAAACACTTTTTCATTAATGAATAATGCGCACTCGTGTGTTATACGCACCCTTAATTAAGGGTAATTGAATTCTAGAAAAATATATCTCTTATTTATAAAACGCACAGACTTTTGTTTAGTATCCAATCAGGCTGTCGTATATAAATGTCATGATCCGTCATCAGAAATAGAATATCAACAAATCCATGTTGAATTATGAAAGTTAACCCTTTTGTTACACTATTTAAGTGTTCACTGTATATCTGGACTAATGTTTGTAATCTATTTTTATTCAAAATTTCATTCAATAACGTTAATTTCAGCGAATTTGTGTGTCCCTCTGATATGTACACCTTCCGTTTACCCCGTTCCATAGAGCCCGCTTTACCTCATGCCGTGACAGCACCAACTCATATTTATCAATTATCTTATTTTCTTCTGTTTCATTTTTAACAAGCCCACACATCAAGATAAACATATGTCATGGTTAACTTTCAATGAGAAAAAATCTCAAATAGTGAAAACCTTTTTCCATTTGCGTAGTTTTCATTTGTTTACATCACATGCTGTCAGCCGTATGGAGAAGTAACGATACGATCACTTTGATACATAAATATATATTGTTGTGCAACTCACAGTCGCGGCTTTTGTAACATATTTATATTATTATGCAAAACAATATGTAAAGCATCAGTCTATTCTGATTTCATAGTTTGTTTAAAACGAGAGAAAAGTTTGGTCACATGATATGCAGATTAGCCTGTGGCAGTGGTGTTATGCAAGGTTATTTTATTTCTAAAATCAATAATTAATTAAAACTGGATGTCATTTTTAGGAAATTTGGAAAATGTCCATAAATTAATCTCAGGTAGGTAGTTGTGATATTTTCATTCACAAGCTGGATATATTGATTGTTGACCAGCGCCACAGCCGACATAATAACAAACAAACAGGTTTTGACAAAAAATATTCAAGTTAATTATATAAATGAATAGCTAAAACAAAAGAAGTGGTAATATACATTAAATAAGACAACAGTATCACACAAAAATACAGTTAACTGATATAAAGTAATGTTTGAAAATCACAAACACAAAGCAGATGTTTATGTTTTATTTTTCAACTTGATCTTCTGATTACTGGTACTTCCTGTTTGGCACAATGGTGTTGACGATCTGTTTTACTCATCGTTAATGTGCAGCTGTGTTATCACAAATACGTAGATATGTAGGTTAATACTGCAAGCATGCACATAGTATTACTTGTAACAGACATATATCTAAAAGGGTAAAATACTGAGAGCTGTTGTTTTCTGCTTTCGCCAAACCACGAACTTAAAGATCTTTCAGTTATGTTTTTTTTCCACCAAAATTATATTCTAATAACCACTCCCTATTTCTAATTTTGAGAGCGCCTTGGGCACTTATTGCATTAAATAAGGAATGTGTTATTTGTCATGCTCTCTTAGGCTTGACGTCACCGAACTGTGAACCCTTCAAGATTATGTGCATTTGTTCCTATAACGTTTTACAGCAATACGTCATTAGTTTGTGTGACACTGGCAGCAGACCGGCCTATGTTTCAACAATGATAAATTTATGGTGCCAGGGTGCAACCTGGTTTTGTCAGGTGCAACTCGGTTTCATGTCAACATGCACCTGGTGCAAGTTAAATCCAGTTCCTTAAATCGAGCCCTGCTTTGTATGCCAGGTTGCTAATGGACTCGATTGTCTTGGTAGTCTGGTCTTGGACTGACGATGGAGTGAAAGTTTCTTCACAGCTCCTTGTGGACAATAAACGGAACCAATAATATGCTAAATGGCACTGAAATACAAGAAGTGTACTAGGAGTGTTGAAGTTCTTGAAATAAATGGAACTTGAACTTGTCTTGACTGAAGTGTTGCACGTATATTAATTTCTGTTTTCAGCTCATAGGTGATAAAGGTTGGGTGGCATTTCAGAAACAAGTTGGAGGATATTCCTTCAAAATTTCTCTGTTTGATACAGTGGTGAGTTTTCTATACCAACTACTAACAACCATTTCATATAGTTGATGTAGAGTTGGGTAACCCAAGTTCTTTACATTTTACAATAATACTCATGAATAATGTCAGACAAACACCAGTAACGGATAACCCCGGTTGACCTATTTAGGGAATTCCCAGTTCGATTTATGATTTACTTGCATCACACCACATGATCTAATGCTGATGTCTGATTGGCTACTTATTGTACAGAGTTGTCCATAGGGATTCCCTTTTATGTACTGTGTGTGCATGTGTGTAAGTTGGTTCATGCGTTCATGACCATTATTAAAAAAGCTAACGAGAAATAAGACATCCATCACATTTATCTTTTTAACCCCTGCCTCGAAGTGGTGCCGGGGATATAGGAACGGAGTTCGCCCCTCCATCTGTCCATCCATCCATCTGCTTCTCATAGGGGACAAATTTTCTCAAAATATATTTAAGTTAGAGAAATGAAATTTTACACACTATAATTACTGGTCATGATCTTAAAGGAGTTTGAAAAGTTGTGTCTTTAATTCATTTAAGTTGTGGTCCTTGCTCCAAGCTTTTCAACTTAGCACATACAGTGTGAAATGGGGACAAGTTTTCTCAGAAACTACTGAGGTTACATGAATGAAAGTTTGTATACTTATCTAAGGGATACTTGTCAAGACTGAGTTAGAGAATTGGTGCCGTAAATTATTTTATTACAACCTTATGGCCTTTGCTCCATGCTTTTCAGCTTGGTGCATTGTGTCTGCAGTGGGGACAAGTTTTCTCAGAAACTACTGACATAACGTGAATGAAACTTTGCATGCTTATCTATGAAATAATTATTAAGACTGTTCAAAACTTTGTCCCATAAAAGAAAAATTCCAGAGTTACTTCCCTTCTCTTGCTTTCAGATTTTGAGCATACACTTACAAACTTTGATCCATGTTATTTTACAAAGTGCTTACTGCATAGTGTCTGAAAAAGGGACAAGTTTTCTCAGAAACTACTGAAAAGCTTATTTGAGAGATAATTATCAATAAATAAATTATTTTTTCCAGAGAAGGGGCCTTTTGTATTGATTTCACATTTAATAATTTCTTCTGATGACATAAAGCGACCCTAGTGCCTATCTCTTCCAAAGGCAATCTCATTAAACCCGTGACGTGACCCGTAATGGGATGTCCTCAGATCTTTGTTTAGCGGTAGCGAGAACTAAGATCTGATTTTAATGAGATTGGGTTTGTCAGCACCATACCCGTGCTCGTGGATTTCATCGAAGTGTTAAACGTCTAAGACCTGCATCACTTTGGTCTTTCCTCCCACATTTAGCTTACACGCCACAATATATATGGAATACTGTTAAAAGCAGCGTTAAACCCAACTCACTCACTTACTCCTATGGGTAAGGACTTCATACATTTGTTGATGAAATGGAAAGATGGTTGACATAATCTTTACTTGATGAGCACTTGAATTACAGTTAGAATGTGACACTGTTTTTCAGTGAATCTGTTGTTTTCTGAATAAAATGAGTGTCGCAATTCATCTGTTAGATGCATATATTTATGTAAGGAAATTGTTATATACAGACATTGAAACGATAATCTATAAATTACTTTTCAGATGTTGTCAGCAGTGCGCCTCACATTCCTTCTACTGGCCTACGCTTTGTTTAATTTAAAACACTGGTGGATGGTAGCTGTGAGTATCAGTGAAGTAGCTATAGATGTAGTTTGGGGTAGAATGTATACTACTCAAAACAAATTAAGGAACACACACACTTGGAAGGCTGTCATGACAGATTAACTATAGTCATTTGAAAAAATCATGTGTGCTTTAACTTCTTTTGAGTAGTATACATTGTATTGGTGGTACTGTAGGGTTATCTTGACGATTTTGCAGGTGATCAATTATGTGTATTACAACATCTAGAGAGTTCTGTATAGGTTCTCATTACATTGCCTTGTGGTTAATGCGTTGGTCGTGACACTGAAGACATGGGTTCACCTCCTCATGCCTCTGTTTCTTGGTTAGACTTGCTTAGAATTGGCCCCCCCGCCTATGCTTGTAGTAAGAAGCAATCAAATGAATCGGCTGGTCAGTCTCGGTGACACGTTTGATGTGTCATTGTATCGTATCTCAATTGCGTAGATTGATGCTCGTGATGTCAATCACTGCATTATCTGGCCCAGACTCGATTATTTACAGACAGCCTTTATATGGCTGACCTATTGCTGAGTGTGGTGTTAAAAACAAACAAACAAACAATCAATCATGATGGCGTGTAAACTATAGTCAGGGCAAAACAAACCTACTGGTTGATATAATGAGCAACTTGTCATGCTTTAGAGGTACGGTAATATCAACCCTACCTGACCCCCCCATCCGAGTTAGTTGCCTAATATGACAGAGAGTAAAGTGCTGGGGATCTATTCCATTCAATGTCCCCACAAGGGTTTCCGTGAAGTATGGGACTACATTGATAGGATGCAATATTTGCATCCGGTAAATCTTTGATTACCATATCATTTCAACTTCTGACAGATAGTTAATATAACTGTCGGCTTGAGATATGTTACTTCCTGGTTTGAAGTCCTACTGTAGTAAGTGTGGGATTTTGAGAAAATGGTAATGACAACATTAGACAAAACTGCATATAATTACTTATTACTAGAAGTAAACTGGAGACTTGGTGGTATGTTACAAGTTTTGTATATTCAGGAAAATGTAATGATAGGTCCATTTCCAGGTATTTATCCTGACCTGCTCCGATGCTGATTTTGTCAGAAAAGTCCCAAATTGGAATTGAAGAATTCCCAATCCATGTTAATATATATTACTAATAATTAAATGCATGGCTGTGTAGAGCATGTAGAGGTAACCTGTGTTGCATTAATAACAAGGCCACTATGGTGGAAGAGGTTTTAATGCTTTGTTTTTTATTATTGCATTGAGTGTGATCTCAAAATACAATGTTATAAGGCCTCTCAATAAGAATTTTTAAAATCCCAATTTTGAACAAAATAACAAATTTCTCCCAATTTTCCTGGCAGGGAAACTTTTGAATCATAGATAAATCCCTTACATGCATTTTTGCACATAATGCAAACACTTTTCTTATTTTGAAGTGTTTATGGAAAATAATCAAAAGATGTAACTAATCCCTATTTTCACTTTTCAGGTAACAACTTTTATGTCCTGTGCCTTTTTGGTAGCAAAAATATTTTTATTTGATGTAAGTACGAAACCTTTTCCGTCTTCTTTGAGTTGCTGCCTGGCAACTGCATGTATTTTCAATCAATGGAAGGTGGGCACAGTTGGCCCAGTGATTTTACTGTGGAGAGTTGTGTCCCTTGTCATGCACGACTACTATCAGCTAAACATGATCAATGATTTGTCAGCATCATACATGGTTTTCAAAGTGGCAAACTACCATCTGTCCTACACAAAAACTGACTTACATTAAGGGACAGGATATCTGGGTGTTTTTTAAATCATGCATGAAATATTATCCAAGTGTGACATCACACAGTTCATGCACGATTAAATTCTCAAACCAAAACAAAAGAGCTCCACACAGCAAAGTGGACAACCCAAGTGTTTCACAGAATAAACTGGCTTCAGACATGTATTTATTAGAGTCAAACTGAAGAAAAAGCTTGTGTTTTTCTTATGAATGAGTTACAAACTGCCAATTGCCAGCTTTTTTGGATCAAAAGCCAGCGTTTATCACAGCCTTGATTACAACATGAATACTTTGAAAGAAGGCAGAAACAAGGCCGGGGTATTCCCTGGATTAAAATGCTTTCTGTCAAGCTTACGATTCTAGTTCTGCAGTGTATGCTTTTCAGACGATACATATTGCAATATTTTTTCTGTGTTCTGGTATAATGGGTAAAAACAATATAAAGATATTGATTGACAAAATGCAGAAGTGATTTTTCTCTTACATTATCTCCCCAGTATCCAAAATGGCAGCCACTGACCATGCTGACTTTGACATTGTTGCAAACAAGAGGCAAAAATAGGAGGTTTGGTGCTGGTTTGGTGCCAATTTGGCCTGAAAAAAACCCAGAAATAGCTTCAAATATATCTCAATACATCTCAATACATTTCGATATGACCTGTATGTATCAGTTATTTACAGGCGACGGTCATACAGCTGGAATATTGCTGAGTACGGTGTTAACCAAACAACAAACAAAACTAAAAACTTGGTATTCACACTTCAGGTTTTATAATAAGAATCTATGTTGTGGACATTTCACAATATCAATGTTACTGCGGCTGTCTGTGTATGTGTGCCAGTATTCAAAACTAAGCAAGTTAAGTTGTCCTTGTCATAACCCTATAATATTAAAAGAGGGGGTCCTTACATTTAAATACTAAAACAGTAAACCTCATGGACACCATATCCTCCTTTAATTTCGAACACCACATGTTATATAGGGGTGGTAGCATAGCCTCGTGGTTAAAACGTTGGCTCATTACACTGAAGACGTAGGGGAGGTAAGCCTATCCCTGATTAAATTTGTGACAAATAATATACCTGCACTGTCAAGACGAAACCGCTGGATAAATTCTGTGTCTGAATACACACTGAAAATGTTTTTCCTTGGCCTGAAAGTTCTCAGCTGATGCGGCTGCGGTACACCAGCTGCCACCATATTGGATACTTAGGAAAATCCTTAGGTAATTAAAAGTCCTCTTGAGTACTCTTAACTTTAGGAGTACTCTTAGTGCTGACCGCCTCCGTGGTCTTGTGGTAGAGCGTCCGCCCGGAGAGCGGAAGGTCCGGGGTTTGATCCCAGCCGCGTCACACCAAAAGACGTTAAAAGATGGTACTTGTTGTTACCCTGTCTGGCGCTCGGCATTAAGGGGCTAAAACAAGGACTGGTCGGCTTGGAGTCAGTATACTGTGTCTGAGTGGGGTATTCATGTTAAACTGCGGCATGGTATCTCAGTGAGCTAGCACTATAAATCGGCATCAGTCCGGACTAGTACAAGCAGCCACACAAACACATACACGTACATGCACATCGCTATATAAGTGCAATAATCTTGGACGCGACGTTAAACCCAATTTCACCTCACCTCACTCTTAGTGCTAAAAGTTTTTATGAATATGACTTAAGAAAATTCTTAGATTTAAGAGTAACTTTTGGTATTTCTAAGAATTTTCTCAGACTTAATATGCTTTACTTAAGACCTCTTTAGCACTCTAAGAATGTTTATGAATACCACCCCAGGTCAACTTCCCACATTGGTACAGTGTGTGAAGCACATTTTTGGTTTCCCGAAACACGCGAGATTGCTGGAATACTGCTGAAAGCGTTGTAAAACCCTACTCACTCACTCCTATGTATTACATAGGAATGGATTAAGGAAGCTGACTGGTTGTATTTTGAACAGTTTGGGTCCACCCAGAGCAGCAAGAACCCCCTCAGCTACTGTTTGCTCATCATCTCCTTCGTGCTGGCGTGGGTAGAGACGTGGTTCCTCGACTTCAAGGTGCTGCCACAGGAGACCAAGGACAGGGAGAAAAGAGAAAGAGGTAACAGAATTATTCCACATTGATTGTACAGGGATTTATTACACCCTCGACCTAAAAGGCCCCAAGTCTGCAGCAAATGACATTAAAAGTTTCAAAATCAGAATGAAAAGTTTCCTAATATTATATGTAACTAATTTACGGATTTGTAGAGATAACTTGTACTTCACTGATAACAGATCCAATAATACTATCTCATAATGCAATGTTAAAATACCCCTGTATTTAAGAAAATGAGAACTTTAAAAAAATCCTAAATTTGAGCAAAATGAAATTGTTTTTTCCCCAATTAGCCTGAAGGGGCACTTAGTTTGTAATCCTGGATAAATCCATGCTGTATTCACTCACCCAATGCTGGGGGCACAGCAGGTGGCCCAGTTGTTGCATCCCCTAAGTTAGCCCGAATCCCATGGTCTTGGTTGGAATCCCAGATTCGTCTTGTTTGGAATCTTGGTGGGTCAGCGTCTTACCTGTGCACGAAGGTTTCACCAAAGTGCTGAGTGTTAGAAGCAGTGTTTATCCATTTAACTCATCTCATGTTTATACGCCAGCTGCATCACATTGGCCGGCCTTTCAACATCAGGCTTTCACATGGTGATATCATTCAATAGTTCTCCCATCGTATATTATATCTCAATTTTTTAACAAATAGTGGAAATACTGCTTAAAGTATTAAATACAGTAAACTATGTTTATAACGAACACGCTTATAACCAACTGACCGATATAACTAACTTATTTTTTGGTCCCGACCATTTGTTGTATAAATGCTGTATATAATATATGCTTATAACGAACTACGGTTACGAACTAAAATTAGTGTCCCTTCGAGTTCGTTATAACCATAGTTTACTGTAGTATAATTTAATGTACAATTAGCTCTGACTCACTCACTGTCTATGACCTTTGCACTGCATTGATGCCGACAGATAATGGTGCATGGCCAAGTATGGGAATTACTTTGTTTTGCTTGAGGGGATCGATTGTCAAAGGGTAAAATATTCTTTCAGGAATTATTATATCCTGTTTCTCTTTTCTCCCCAGCATCCAGAGGCTATGTTGATGAGCGGACGCCTCTGCTCCGTGACCATGATGATCGCTCAGTAGATGAAAGTAGATACTACTCACCTGTGGAATCACCAGAGGGTAAGTAGAGTTACCTCCCTTAGACTCAGATTTGAAGCAAAATGGAGGCATGTTGTGAATACCAGCTTTAATATATTGATTCACAAAACATCGTTTTCAATTTTAAACAATTGACCATATTGTCCTTGAATGAAAAATTTGAGAAATTGGTGAATAGACTGTGATTAATTAGCAGCAAACACACATACAGATGTCAGAGTGCAGAAACTGACATATGTTTCAGACTACCAGCCCACTGTGCCAAAACCTGTCAGTTCTCATTCACTGATAGCCCACATTGATATAATATAGAAAATGATTACATGATTTCATACCCCTTGGAGAGCAATTACGTGGTGCACACAAGGCTTGAAAAAGCCTTGGAAATAAATAAAATAACTTGAAAAGACCTTCAAAATTAAACTGAAGCAACGGATCAGTTATTTTTTTACTATTTATATATATGGGAAATAAAAACATGATTGTGAATGTCCGTAAACATATGAAGTAATGCTGCATGATAACAATTGATTTACACTTTGTTGCACATTTTTCATTTCTCATTTGCGATTTTGCTATTGCGAGTGTTCTAAAGAATGGATGCTATTGCAATCTGGGATTAGTTACTTCCCTTTATCTTAGGTCACGGCACTGATTGATTGCATCTTATTTGTGCTATTTATTTGCCCTGTGTTTGATAAAAAGTGCCTTGTAAAAGCCTTGAATGGTCTTAAGTTGTTGAGGACAAATCTGTACCAACCCTGGATGAGATGATGCAAGACTGTAGCTGCTACCTCCGTCAGTGTATGTTACATGGCAAAGTGATCCGACTTGCATGCCTTTGTATATTGTTGCCATAATCATTTTCTTAGTAAGTGAACAGGGCAGTGGGGTAGCCTAGTGGTTAAAGCGTTTGTTTGTCATGCAAACGACCTGGCTTCGATTCCCCACATGTGTGAAGCCCATCTCTGGTGTCCCCCCCCCCCCCCCGTGATATTGCTAGAATATTGCTAAAAATGGCGTAAAACCATACTCACTCACTTACTCACTCACCAGTAAGTGAACAAAATTATGTGTCTCTTGGAATGTTTCTACCTTTTAATACATAACTATTACCGTAAATGGTTGAAATGTCACAACACTGTTTGAAGGCAAGAAATAGGTTGAAGGGTTGATATAAGAAATAAAATATTGACATCAGTGATGAGAGGTGGAGAGAGGTGAATTATGTAGAATACATGTAAGAGCCCTATTATATGTACCTAATATTAAATACAAGGTAATGAATACATTGTATGTTCATTACAAAATAACCTGATTCATGTGTTAAATATAGCAGCCAATCAAATTACCCGGTACTTATTGGGTGGGGCAAGTGTGAGCAGGAGATTACAACCAATCAAATTGTAGCTTCCAGACATCCTGCTTCAAAGCTTTTTAAAGTGTGTTCCTGTTATTACTACATGTATCCCAACTTCGCTTGTTCTGATGGTGAGATTACGCAGGACTCAGTATCTTGATGCAACTGTGAGCATCTTACTTATAACAAGTAGGACTTGTGTGGCCACAGCCTGTTATGTTTAGAAATGGATCTGATCTATTGGCAAATTGCTGTGAAACATCCCGGGGAGGAACATTGTTGATACATGCAAGTACTGAGGATACTGTGTGTTCAGAGATGTGGGATTTGAACATTAGGAGAAAAGGGACCTTATGGGTGCTAGGATACAATTGTGCTATGACGTCATAAAGATGTTTGACATCAACTTACTTCAGTGAAGATCGCCATCTGTGCGAACTGTACAAAAATATGTGATTTTTCTCTCGTTAGTTTGTAATGCCCTAAGAACATTATTTCAAAACCTTTCAGCATACATGTCTACTTTCAATTCATCAGACATTATGTCTTAAAGCAGCTATTATAACAAACAGTTATCAGTCAGACAATGAGTGCAAATCTGTGATGTCATGTATCTCTGTAATAAATATGAATTAAAGCTTGTTAATTGTTTTTTGTGTTCCAAAGAAACTGTAGTTTTTAGATATAGTGAAAAGTCAAAATGTGATTTTTCACCGATGAGGTCCCTCCTTATCTCATGGTTGTCACAAATATTTAAAAATTCATGCATGTCTGTATAATTTTAAGGCATAAAGGAGCTTGATTTAGAAAGAGTGAGTGTGTCAGACGGATATGAAATTGATTTCTTAACGTGTGAAATTTAATTTTTGTACTTCTCTATTATTCACCATTGATAATTATCTGTTGTGAAAAGGAAGTGTCTGCTCTTCCATGTCTAGATCAGTGCACTTCCACCTGGATAGACCCTGATGCGGTCATCTATTGTTGTATAGATTTAAAAATAACCTGAACATTTTTTCCTGTATTTGATCAAAAATGGTGTCTGTAGTTTATGTCAACGTTGCTGTATTGTGTGTAACTGTTGAACAAAAGAAAACTCACTCACTCACTCCAAATGCTAGTCTGTCTCACAGTCCCTGAACCATATGATTTCCCCTTTCCCCCAGCCCTTACTGTAATGCTGTAGCCCTAATTGACTCAAGTCTAGATTTTCCTCAGGTACTGAATTTCCCATCTCCCTGGGGCACCTTTTTAATTTAATTATAGTTGCTTATTTCTATCAAAATTATATATTTTTAGAGACTAAGTATAACATGGATACCCTCACTTAAGACAAGTTAACTGACTCCGAGATGACCAGTCCTTCTATTGTCCCCTTAATGCCAAGCACCAGGCAGGGTAACAAAAAGTATCTTTTAACATTTTTTGGTATGACGCAGCTGGGGATCAAACCACCCATCCTCAGCTCTCTGGGCGGACACTCGGTCCACTAAACTATGGAGGTGATCCGGTATGTGTATAAAAGCAAGATGTTATTGTGATTGGTCAAAGGGAAACACATGATTGCAGTCACACCACTAGGGATGTTATTGACCATGACCAGCTGGCCATCACCTCACTACCCCAGGCAGTCTAGTGGTGTACGTAAGGCACTGGCTTCATCACCATGTAAGTAGGCTATTGATCAGCGGCAGTGCTGGATCCCCTTGTGCTTCCAGTCCAAGGGATTTACTGGCTTCAAGCTATTTATCATATTGATATTCTATTTTCTGCATTTCAAAGGAGTATCATATGACTGTACTTGATTAAAAAGTAATCTCCCAAGGCAATGGTCATGAGATGGTGTGTGCAAGTTTTATACCGATTTGGAGCATATAGTCAGTTTATAAGTAAAGAATAATCAGATGTCCAGAGCTTCTGGATACAAGGGGCTGGGTCAGTGACCCCTTGAATAAGTCTCCTGGCCATTTATTTCTGCCACTGGGCCCTCTTACATAGAGTGATATAGTGTATATCATCTCCCATACTTTAACTAAGTTGTACAATAGCAGTAATGTTATGATGGCTTTGTGCTAGTGCCCATTATTATCCCCCGCCGCGCGAAAGCGCGAAGCGGGGGATATAGTATTCACGACCGTCCGTACGTACGTCCGTACGTCTGTACGTCCGTACGTCCGTCCGTCCGTCCGTCCGTACGTCCCACCTGTTTGTTGCCGCGATATCTCAAGAACTAAACACTGGATTGTCTTCATATTTGGAACTATGGTGTATATACAGACTCCGCAGACACCAGTCGGTTTTGGTGACCTTGATCCCATTTTCAAGGTCACAGCAGGCAAATCTGCTTTTGGAGTTGGAAAACGGTGTTGCCGCGATATCTCAAGAACTAAACACTGGATTGTCTTCATATTTGGAACTATGGTGTATATACAGACTCCGCAGACACCAGTCGGTTTTGGTGACCTGGATCCCATTTTCAAGGTCACAGCAGACAAATCTGCTTTTAGAGTTGGAAAACGGTGTTGCCGCGATATCTCAAGAACTAAACACTGGATTGTCTTCATATTTGGAACTATCGTGTATATACAGACTCCGCAGACACCAGTCGGTTTTGGTGACCTTGATCCCATTTTCAAGGTCACAGCAGACAAATCTGCTTTTAGAGTTGGAAAACGGTGTTGCCGCGATATCTCAAGAACTAAACACTGGATTGTCTTCATATTTGGAACTATAGTGTATATACAGACTCCGCAGACACCAGTCGGTTTTGGTGACCTTGAGCCCATTTTCAAGGTCACAGCAGGCAAATCTGCTTTTGGAGTTGGAAAACGGTGTTGCCGCGATATCTCAAGAACTAAACACTGGATTGTCTTCATATTTGGAACTATGGTGTATATACAGACACCGCAGACACCAGTCGGTTTTGGTGACCTTGACCCCATTTTCAAGGTCACAGCAGGCAAATCTGCTTTTGGAGTTAGAAAACGGTGTTGCCGCGATATCTCAAGAACTAATCGCTGGATTGTCTTCATATTTGGAACTATAGTGTATATACAGACACCGCATACACCTGTCAGATTTGGTGACCTTGACCCCATTTTCAAGGTCACAGCAGGCAAATCTGTTTTTGGAGTTGGAAAACGGTGTTGCCACAATATCTCAAGAACTAATCGCTGGATTGTCTTCATATTTGGTACTATGGTGTACAGGCGGGGGATATTTCGTCACTCTGTGACAAATACTTGTTTTCATAGTGATTGGGTTATTCCTAAGTTGAATAATTAAACGAGACTTACCTGACGTTGACTTACTGACATTGCCAGCAACAATTCCTCAGAGGAATCAACGTCAGACATGTGACATTCATCTCTGTAATCACCATTGTCCAACTCACTGTCAGACAGTGGTGCTTCACTCACTTTCGCTGTGGCCTTGGGGGGTTATCCTCGATACCGATATCTATCCTTGTTCCCCGCTTTATGGGGTATTTTAGAGTCCGATTTAGACTTACTCAAAATCAAAGAGGATGTATCATCTGACTTGCGCTTTGCAAGACTCGAGAAAGCGGCATTCATAGAATGCATAAACCCATGTATGTTATCTCTCCTGGCCTCAATCTGGTGAAAAACGACTTTTCAAAATATCCCGGTCTAGATAAATG